GACGAAAAATTAGGCGTTTATTTACTTGTGACCACTGTGTATAGATACAATATAGATAGACTGATTCTAAAAAAAATCTTAAAAATCCTTAAGACATACCTGTACCTAGAAAATAAAGTCAAAATGTAGTAAATAGATATGTGAAGGTTTCAAAAGAGTTCCTTCCCACTAATTGTAGGCCTGAAATGTTAAAAAACCCACAAATTCATACGAGTTATAGTTTTTTATGGTTCGAAGGCCCATTTAAAAATCTTGCAAGACGTGTGTGTGTGTGTGTATACATAACATACCATACTTATTTTGTCAGAGAAGGATTTCTTCACTACCAACTATCATCTCTAGAGTACTGGCCTTGTATCAAGCAGAGCATAGGAGCAACTCTGTTTATATGAGATACACAAACAAGTTATTGTGTTACTAGTATTTTTCTAATTAATTTTTTTATGACCAACAAACTCAACCAAAACTATTGAAGGTCAATCCCATGACTGATTATGGTCAGAAAATTAAAACTGTTGTATCATAGTAGTTCTTTGATTAGAAGTTTCAGCTACTATTAATATGAAAAAAATTTATGATGTATTATATTTATTATCAAATATAGTCACTATTACCTCTTACAATTTCTCCTAATAACTTTTTGACAATAGCTTTTTAAGTTATTCCTTGCAAGTGAGTGTTGTCATTTATTTTCAACAGTTATTGATAAAGTTAAATAACTGGATAACAGTTTTGTATTTTTATTTGTCTTTAGCTTTATGAATCAAGCAGCTATTCAAATTTCCACATGGCCAATATCTATCTCGCTATTCCCGAACTCTCTCAGACTTCTCGAACTGCTAAACTTCATAAGCACCAGTTCAGTTCTGAGCATGTTGTCAATTACAGGCATGCTGGAATTGGAAGTGGTGAGTCATAATGGGTTTCTGTGAATAAGATCTGATATGAACAAGTAAAATTTTATTTTTAAAACTTTTAGTCATGGAAAATATTCTGTATAATGAGACTTTGTGAAGTGTTTTAAGTATGGGCACTGTAAGTTTAAAAGTCCTTATTTATACATATACAAACTTCTTGTTAAATAAATATGTTAAAGCAATGAAACTGTAATGATTTGCAATATTAGTCTTAAGTTTATTAATTGTGTGTCTTATATCATTTGTTTTAAGTCACTCAAATAAGATTATTGGCTTGTTTATTTGAAAGTATGTGGAAAAGTTGTGTGTTTTGTCAATGTTTTAATGAATTATTGTGCAGTTAAACAGTTGTCAGTTGTTATTAATACACTATGTTTCTTCAGGTATACAGTTTCATTACAACAATAAAGAAACAGTGTCTCACTGGCTTTTGACCAATGGAGTAGTTCGTTGCAGTGTGTCTTGGGGGGTTGGAGAAGATGGAGAAGTATTAGCCCCATCATCTAAGAAAGAACCGTCCATTCTTAGGTACAAACAAAGATCACCTATATAAATATTTTTTTAATTTGCAGATAAACAAGTAAATATGTTTGAAGAACTTCTTTTTATTTTTTAATACTTTATGTTCTACTAGGTTTACCTACCATCATCATGTGGTAAGCTTTGAAAATCATACAACAGTTCAAACTGTTGCACATTACAACGCCAGTAATGATATTATATCGTTGAAAATAATCAAAAGTAGCTATTGTAAAGAAACAGTAATTAGAATGAATATAACTGCACACCTGTATATTTATTAATGTTTGTTTATTTAATAAAGAGAGCAGAGCTTTAATTTTTCTGTGACTTATATTATTTTCTTTGTGTATGATTTCATCTTCTTGAAAATCAAAGAGGTGATTATATTTAACCATATGTTCAAATACATGAAAGAGAACTTTCAAATGTTTTTCTCAATCTAGTTGAAAGATGCCATTTAGTTTCCCTGATGTAATAACTTTCACAGACTTTACGTTTAATTTAATACACTGATCCTGATGGACCATTGTCAGCAAATTTTCTTGATAGAAGCTGGTATAGTTTTTTCTTTGATATCACACTGTAACAGCTTTTAACCATATTTTCTGGAAAGCATTCGAAAGTTTATGGATATACTTAACTCTTGTTGATTTCTATTACATTATTTTATAATAACATAATATCATTATTGATAGTAACAGTAGTTTTGTTTGTAAAGAGATTTTTTTGCTGATGTTAAGCACCCACCTTAGTGAGCAGTATTTTAAAAAGCAAAACAAATATACTTGGTTAACCAAAAATTGAATATCCCATTAACAAAAATTTTAATTATTGATGGACATACATTAAATTAATACCTTTTATTAAACAGTGTTTTTATCTAAATAACTTATTTGAATCTCTCCTACTCATACAGACAGTGTCACTGAACAGTACATTCACTAAAATATTTTTTGTCCATGTAATTGCCTTGAAAATATTTTAAATGGAGCTTAACTATAAGTATTTGATCAAAATAATCCTCTTCCAATTAATTTGGATTTAAAAAAATGCAGAACTAATCACTTATCAATTAAAAACACAAATTAAAAATTTCTATATATAATGATTTTAGGAATATATTTTGATATAGTAAATTGCCAAATCTGGTTAGTAGAAACTTTTGAATGTATGTATAGATCAACTAAGACAATATATATGGTATCTATTTGAGAATTGATTTTCAGTGTGATAAGAGAGAAAATGTGTCTAGGATACTAAGTTAGTTATAAGATTGGAATGTGGAACTGAAGAGTGAAAAGAAGGCAAACTTAATCATTGAGTATAACTTGATGATGACCTACTCCTTTGGATTCTAATATCATTAATTAAATATTAAAACAATTCCTTTTGCAAAGATATTTATTACTCTTCACTAATGTACTCTATGGGATCTTCACTCTATAGTTATTAAACTCAGTTGTAGTAAAATTAGAGTTTTTAAATCATGTTATCATGCACCACATACTTTGCCTTATATTACTTTTATCATCAGAAAGTCTTCTACAAAAAATAGTGTTACATTATAAGTAGAATGCCAAAACAGTGACTGGTAAATGTCATTAAATCTTAAATTTGTATTAAACTATATTGAGAGTTGTGTCCATGAAAACAAAAAATATGATGTACTTCTTACAGAAGTAGAAATTAACGAGAAGAAAAATTATTTACAAAAAAACCATAGCATAAAAAAATATGATATTGAAATGATGGGGTTATATTTTACCTTGGAATTATGATTATAAATTTAGATATTTATTGTTTGATGATATTAATAGTAAAATTCTAAAATATAAAATGCTTTATAAGGTATCATTTATTCAACTTTTGGAAATGTTAACATTTGGATATGCAATCAGTTATGAAAATTAGGTTTTTTTGTTACTGATATGAAAAGTATAAAATATTTTTGATTGAAATTTTTAAAACATTTGTTACAGTACAGTGAAGCAGACTAAAGCTTCTCACTATTTTCCTGACCAAGGACACCTATCAGATGTTGAGAAACTTCGGGAGTGGGCACAGCATTCACATCTTGATCCAAATGATCCATGCAATGCAGGAGTGTTTGAAGCCATACGGGTATCCAGTGTATTCATGACTCACCATTTTAGATCTTAATTTGTTTTATGCTAGACACCTAGTAACATGGTTATTCAGATTTACACTAGTTGTAGATGTGCCTATCAAAATTAATGTCATATCATTACAAATAACTTCGTTTAACAAGTGATGAATTTTTCTGTAGTATTAGTGAAAAATTTATGACAGTATAGAAATAATGATCCTGTATAGATACTTCAAGATCAGTATTTTTAACATGCTTCTTACATTTTAAATTTTTTGATAAAGCCCATCCTTCACCAACAGAAATATGTCTCGTTGATGAAGCTATGTAGTAATGATATTGTTTTATTCATATATTTTTATGATATTTCAAATAAATTGTGTCATCTAACCATCCCTTACTTTTGAACTAATCAACAATCCCATTTTTCACTGAAAATTGTAAAGAATCTATGAAATTTTGTGTTCTCCTTTTTTAAACTAGGTCAAGCATTTTTTTAGTTGTTAGCATGTCGGTGTGTAATAAGAGAATCTAGGGTTTGAAATCTAATGTTACTGAATATGCTCCATTGTGGGCCATCATAAAATTAACTGTCAATCCTGTTATTCATTTCAAAGAGGTGGGTGAAATTATTACAGTGAAGGGTGCTGCTGCTTCAGTATTTGGTGACAATGCACATTTTGATAATTTTTGCTTAATTGTGAAATATCTGAAAATACTTAATACAGACTTAATAATTCTTTTCTTCTGAAGATCATATTAAATTAAATATTTTAATACTTATTTTCAGCAAATTATGTTTAATATTTATAAAAAAAAAAGATATTACGAATTTGTGAAAAGTAGCTAACTTAATTGAATGGTATCAAACTTGGTTTGGTTAGAAACTGTTATGGTTTCTGCAGTAAATAGTAATGGGTAATAACATAGTTTAATAAGTAATTGTAATTTTGTTACAGTCATTCTATTTTGCAGAAACTTGATCTTCAGAGATCAACTGATGGAGAGAAGCAAGGTTCAAGTTATTTTAGGCTGGAATCATTAATGGAAGAATTTGAGTTTGCAAGTTCAAAGGCATTAGAGGACAATCCTCGATTTCGTCTTCTAAAGTTAAGGGCCAAAGAAGTTCCAGAATTTCGTAACTACCAAATGGTACCTGTGAATGAAAAGGAAATTTCCAAAGCAACATTAGAGGTTTGAATTCATATTTGGTTTGGATTTAAAGTTCACTGTTTTCAGTAATTTACTGAAACAACAGATACGTATTTGTATATACACGTTTGAGTCCTTCAACTAGTTTTGTAGATTTGAATTTTTTTTATATTTAAAAAAAGCAAATGGAACATTTTCGCACACAAGATATTGTATCTTGGGCAATTTGTTTATAGAAAATAAAGCTCAAAATACGTATTCAGAGGAGTATTCTATGTTAATATTGAGCAATACAATAACTACATCATTTATAAACTGATACCATGTAAATATGCTACTTTTTGAAATCGACAAAATAGTGAATAGTTACATTACAGTAAAAGCTTTCACAGTACTTCAAACTTTGGAGAATTCTACACATATGGTGCATTTGATTCTCTTTACAATCAAAATATCAATTTTGTTTTCATCAGAGAACGTCTAATAGAACAACAGTGAATAGCAAGCAAAAGGGCTAAAAAATATTTTTTGTGCTAAATCAAAACAGTTTTAACTGTGTTACAAGTGTTCAACGTTCTTGCTGGTTCAACCAGTATTATACTTTTTCTTTGCAACTGTCAGTGCTTTATTTTGGGAAACCACATTAATGATTGTGTTCAGCAGTTTATCTTTCTTTTTCTTAAGCAACTCTGGCAAATGAAGAAAGCAAGTGAATCTAGAAAACCCAGAGATGAAATAGAAGCTCACAGAGTGAAATCACTAAACTACCTGAATAAGGTAATTACAGATGAAGCAAAGTTATTACAAGAGAATTGTTATCTAGGTTTATTTTGTATAATGCAAAACTGGATTCAGTGCCTTGGCTATGAAGTTGAAAAGTAAAAATATGTTTAGTGTTTTAACTTCTTATTTAAAGAAATGGAAGACAGCTGATATAATTGCTACAATATCCAGTTTATTTAACCCTAAAATCGTTAGTTGATTGTACAAAAATTATGTATTTGGGTAGTTTCTTATATATAAAGTTTTGCACAAATTCATAGTTTGATTTCTTTCTTGCAAAATGCAAAGAAAGTCACAAAAGTTGTTTTGATGTTGATGAAGAATCTTCCCAAAGCAAGGCTGCTCTTACTTAGGGCCATTTGATTTTTACTATAATTTTCACTGTAAGAAAGGCTTTCAACATGTTCATGACATATAGGATACACTGTGCACTTAGAAATAACAATAAATGTTCTTTAACTATTTTTTATGACTCATTGATTAAATTCTCATCTGTCTGTCAATCACTAAATGATCAAAGAAAATGAAAATGGTTACAATTAGAAAAAAAAAGTATCATATTCTTATTATTTTTTCTGCTTTACAGTTTTCTTGGCCTCTTATGATTTGATTATAACGTTTTTGGATGATCTCTCTTTCTGATCACTTTAACTTCAGCAAGGAACCTATCATGATTGCATCCATAACATTTGCACTTCATTGAATTGTTGCAACTTCCAATTTTTCACTTGCAATTGAGACTAATGTAAATTTGACTTTTGGACATTCTTCAATTGACTAGTTTAGGACTGCAAACAGGTCTTGTATAGATAAATGACTTTGAAAAAGGCTTTGAATTTCACCAAATTCATGACACAAATGGGAGGAAGAACTTATTTTCAATTGAGGATTTCTCTGCAATAGGTGAACTGATGAGCATAAAAGTTGTACTAGTTGAATGTTCTAATACTATTTTATCATTTAAAGGTAATGTTAGTGCTTTTAGCATTTGCTGAATATTGTGAAGACTAGAACAGCTACCGATTTCTGTATTATTGATTCCAAATTGTAGGGTTAACTGACACAGCATCTTTATTTTAACAGTGTCTTTGTCATTGGTATTCTTTTCATGTAATTCGTACTGCAGATTTATAAACACTTTTATGTTATTTAGAATTTGAAACTCACAGACCATTACACAATTGTAAACAATTTTGTTCTAATTTATAGGTTCGAGAACAAGTTATGAAGAAATTTCAAGCCATTCAGAGACAAATAACGTTAGAAGATATTGTGTCCGAAGACCAAGTTCCTAATATTGGGTGAGTCTTTTACTCATTGTTTTTGTAAAGTGTAGTTCGTGTGTTATATCCATGGGATTGAAATTCCTCTACCTCAATGCTCAGGACTACTATGAATTCTTTATGCACTAACCTGGAGATATTGTGGTTCTGCTTGCATGAAATGTGTGCATGTGTATAAATTCTAACTCTGTATTTAATTATTAAATATTACAGAAATGCTAATTGTTGTTATTTTTCATTCAAATCATCAAATATCTACTGTCGCTGATATGTGTCTAAGATCGGTACCTGTTTATTGACTATACGAACACGTAAGTTACCAACTTACAATATTACAGAAATGCTAATTGTTGTTATTTTTTCATTCAAATCATTAAATATCTACTGTTACTGATATGTGTCTAAGATCGGTACCTGTTTATTGACTATACGAACACGTAAGTTATCAACTTCTAAATCAAAATATCTAATTACCTACTTTTGTATTTATAACATTTTCTAATCTATATGATTATTTTTCTCTAGAGTTAGATTAATTATTTTTAATGCAAAGTTTTATTGATAAAACAGCTGTGTTTGGGCAAAATGATTTAAACCATCTACTTGGAACTCCACAGCCTTCTTCCGAGGTACAATGGAAAAGGGTGAAGTGTTCCAAATGTTGGAGCTGTGTGGTTGTTTTGATTTTGTGACATATGTATCCTGGATATCGTACTCAGAGATTTTATGTTTTTATACATTTTGAATTAAATCATTATTTTAAATATGGTATGAATATATGGGCATCACACGTGGAGACTGGTTTAATTGTCAATAGATTTTATGCATGTGTCATACATATGGGTAGTAACTTGTATTGAGTTTTGTAATACTGTGGAAGAAGTCATTGCAATGCATATAGGTATGAATATATGGGCATCACACGTGGAGACTGGTTTAATTGTCAATAGATTTTATGCATGTGTCATACATATGGGTAGTAAC